TATTTTCCTTTCTGACATTGTCCATATATTGCAAACCTGAGTCAAAATTTTTTTTTTGGCAATCTTATCTGCTAGCTTAATTTTAAGTTTGTCTTCAAGATTGTGATAATCGGTGTAAAAAAATACAGATACTCCACCCACTCTGTTCTCTTCAGTAACAGAAAGTCTTTCACATTACCTAACATTCAGAAATTCTCAATTTATTATCTGAACTGGATGCTTTTGTTATTCAAATAAACAATTGATTTTATTTTATTGTGTAGATAAAACCAATGTGAACTCACACCAAAATTACTATTTGAGAGAAAGACATCTGATTGTTTTTTTTTTTTTTACATTCATCTGTAATGTTCAAATTTATTTAATCTTTCTTCTACTTTCGGCCGTGTGTATGTACAACTTTTCAATATTATACAATTTGACACCTTCATATTTTCAGCCCTTTCAGGGCTGAGACATTTGACAAAGAGTTAATATCTTTAATATATAAAACAGGTACCCAATAAGAAAAATATTACCATATCAGTGGATAAATGCATAAGATAATACGAAAACAAAATAGATAAAAATAAATTTAGATCTCAAGAATATGGGGAAAGGGGAAAGGGAGGGGAGGGGGCAGGATGGGTGGAGGGAGGGTAATTGGTGGCACCACACCGATGGTGCATCTTACAAGGGTACATGTGAAACTTACTAAATGTAGAATATAAATGTCTTAACACGATAACTAAGAAAACTCCATGAAGGCTATGTTAACCAGTTTGGTGAAAATATTTCAAATTGTATATAAAACCAGCACATTGTACCCCATGACTGCATTAATGCACACAGCTATGATTTAATGAAAAATAAATAAATAAATTTAAGAAAAGAAATACAGAACTTTTAATGTGCAAAGTAATGGAAAAAATTACTTCCCCTTTTAAACTGGCAAAAAATTTAAAATATCATTTTAAAAGAGATAAACATTTGGATAGCATAGATAGAAATTTAGATAAATATCTTTATCTAAAGTAACAATCTTACTGTAGATTAATTTAGATATTAGCTAGAGTGAGTAAGTGCTCATAGGCTCCGGGCAGGCAGAACTGAAGTTGATCTTTACACAGACACTTCCTAGCTATATCACTTTAGGCAATAGATGATTCCCCTTATTCCTAGTTTCCTCACCTATAAAAGGAATCATCATGATAGGTAACTTAGTATGTTTTGTGAAACATTAAGACAAAGTGCACAGCACTCTTTCTAACATACAGTAACTTCTCAATAACTTGCTAATGATAACAATGATCAGCATACAGACAGACATTATAATACACTCTCCATAGGATCAACTGCTATAATTGCTTGGGACAGCAATTTAGCTGGATGTGTCAAAAGTCTTCAGATGCCCATACTCATAGACTCAATAATCCTATTTGTAAAAATGTGTCATAAAAAGTAATCAGAGGTATAGTGAGGGATATAAATACCCACCTACTCACAGTACACCTTTATATTTTAATGACCAATGCTATAGTAGAATGCCACATCCATCTTCTGTGATAGAAGTTTTAAAATTGGCAGAATAGGAATATCAATTTATGAATAGTGGATAATATGTCCTAAATTATGGAAAATGTCCCTGGATGAAATTAAGATTTCATTTGAATTTTCTCATTCCTTCTTGTCTATTATGCTTGGAGGCTGCAATATTAAGTATGCTTCATTTGTGAGGGGATCTAAAATGGATGTCTGAGCTCACGCATTTCCCTTCTTAAAGATAGGTTTTTTTTTTTAAAGTACTTTTTCATTTCATTTCCACTTTACCTGAGAGGATGTAGAAAAAAAATTATTCAACTATTCTTGCTTTTAATGAACACAGAATTAAACCAGAGAGGGAATATTTCTTTACAGAATTTTTTTTTTGTCTCCACAGTATAGCATTCATGAAAATAAGAGAGGGTTGTTTTCATTTATTTTTCTGCTTGTCAGCTCAAAACATGAAAGAAGGTAAACCTTTACATGAAACGTAGAGTCCACGATTGAGCTGGTATGCTTCTGTCCTTAAGCTACACACCATGTCCAAAATTCACCTGGTGAGGACAGGGGGGCGCTCTATAAGCCAAGCAGTCACCCTCCAATGGACTGAAGCTGAGACACCACGTGACACTGCTACTCCAACCCCTCAAACACACCATCTGGATTATGCAACATCCATTGACCCACTGAGCAGTGATTTTCAACCAGGGTGTCACAGCACACTGGTGTGCGGTGAGAGGATTGTAAGTGTACTGAGAGATTTTTTAAAGATCAGTAATTAAATTATTTTCTAAAGAAGGTCAAAGCACAGGAAGTATATTCTGTTTTTAACTCTTTTCTTTAATCAACATGATTTAAGTGTGCTGTGGAAGTTTAACTACAGGTTCAAGTGTGCCATGAGGTAAAAAAGGTTGACAAACACTGCTCTAGGGAAAGAAGACAATAGTGATTTCACATGTGAATCCGAAGAGAAAAATCACAAAGACAGACACTCAGGGTAGAAGGACTTGGTTTATAGTTAAATGCAACACACAAGGGGAATTCTACGGCCACCTTTCACACCAAGCCATAGTAAGAGTTTACTTATTTCACTATCAGATGTTTCTGACCAATACTGACTGGGCCAGTGAGTCATATTCTTTAAAAACAAAGCATGATAGCTGGGCTTGGGGGCATGCACTTCTATTCCCAGCTACTTAGGAGGCTGAGGTGGAAAGATCCCTTGATCCCAGGAGTATGAGGCTGCAGTAAGCTGTGATGGCACCATGGTACCCCAGCCTGGGTGACAGAGTGAGACCTAGTCTCTTGAAAATATAAACAACCAAAGCATGGTTTTGTTAACATTTTTGTTTTTGTTGTGTTGTGTTGTGTTAATTCAGATTAATATGAGGATACAAATGATTAGGCTACATTGTATGTGTTTGTTAGATAAAGTTCAAGTTGTAATTGAGCCCTTCACCCAGGGGGTATGCTGTATAACCTTACATTATGCACATTAGGTGAGAGCTTACCAATCCTCCTCCCTCCTTTCTTAAGCTCTTTCCTTTCTCCCCCCTTCCCCCAAAGAAGGATATCCAGGGTATACAAATGGGAACAAAGAGGTCCTTGCTGATGACATTATCTCATACTTAGAAAACTCCAGAGCCTCAACCATAAGACTCCTGGAAGTGACCAAGGAATATAGTTAACCTGACTGGGTACAAAATCAATGTCCACAAATCAGTAACCTTCATATACTCCAATAACAGTCAAGCTTAGGATCAAATCAAAGACACAGTACCCTTCACAGTAGCTTTAAAGAAAATGAAATAGCTGAGAATATACTTAACAAAGGACATGAAGGATCTTTACAGAGAGAACTGTGAAACTCTGAGAAAAGAAACAGCAAAGGTATTGACAGATGGAACAACATACCATGTTCATGGATGGGAGGAATCAACATTGTTAAAATATCCATACTACTCAAAGCAATTTACAGGTTCAATGCAATCCCCATCAAAGCACCAATGTCATACTTTGAAGAACTTGAAAAAATAGTACTTCATTTTACACTGAACCAGAAAAAAACCCACATAAACAATGCACTTAAAAGAAATAAAAACAAATAATAGGTCATCACATTACCAAACTTCAGGTTATTCTGTAAGTCTACAGTGAGCAAAACAGTGTGGTATTGTCACAAAAATAAAGATATACATCTATGGAATGAAATAGGAAATGTGGAGATAAACCCAGCCATGTTTTGCCACTTGATCTTCAATAAACCAAACAAAAGCATGCACTGGGGGAAAGAACGCCTATTTAATAGAGAGTGCAGGGAAAACATGCAGAAGACTGAAACTGGACTAGCACTTCTCACCACTTATGAAAATTGGCTCTCACTGGATAAAAAAAATTAAATTTAAGACATGAAATGACAAAAATTCTAGAAGAAAGCATTGAAAAAACTCTTCACAACTTTGGCCTGGGAAAATATTTTCCAATATTTTATAAAGAAGACCCCAGTTGCCAAGGGCAACTGTAGCAACATGAAAAATAAATGAGTGGGACATGATCAAACCAAAAAGCTTCTGCATAGGTAAGGGTACAACCACTAAAGCATACAGACAACCTTCAGAACGGGAGAAAATATTCACATGCTATGAATTTGACAAAGGGCTGATAACTAGAATCTACAGAGAACACAAACTAATCAACAAGAAAAAGGCAAACAATCCCATTCATAAGTGGACAAGAAACATGAACAGAATCTTCTCTGAAGAAGGCAGATAAATAGCCAACAAACACATGAAAAAATGCTCATTATTCCTAATCATCAGAGAAATGCAAATGAAAACTATGCTGAGATGTCACTAACCCCAGTGAGAACAGCCCACATCCCAAAATCCCAGCATGTGGAAGTGAACAGAAGAGAACACTCTCACACTGCTGGTAGGAGAGTGGTAGGATTGCAAACTCATACACCCTCTATGGAAAGAAATATGAGGAACCCAGAAAAAGCTAAAAGTGAACTTCCACTTGATCCTGCAATCCCATTACTAAATATCTACCAAGAAGAAAAAAATCATTTTACCATAAGGACATTTGCACTAGAATGTTCATCACAGCCCAATTCACAATCACCAAGATGTGGAATCAACCCAAGTGCCCATCAACTCATAAATGGATTAATAAACTGTGATATACATATACCATGGAATAGCATTCATCCATAAAGAAGATGGGGACTTTATATCTTTTGTATTAACCTGGGTGGAACTGGAGAACATTCTTCTTAGTAAAGTAACACAAAAATTCAGAATCAAGTATTCAATGCATGCAATACTAAATGAAACCAGTAAATAAACAACTGTACCCCGACATGAGAAAAGCTTGATTTTGTTAGCATTTTTTTAAAAAACTGGTTTATTTCTACAATCTAATGTCACATGGAAATAGAGAAATGGCCAACTACATCTCCAATTGTATCTTACATTTACCTCTTTGGAATCAAGGGTTCCATGTTCAGGAATAGCCACCGTTTGTTGACTCAGCTTCACAGAGAAGGTGCCCAGGATGTGATCAGGAGTAGAAGTGAGGAGAAATAAATGTTTAAATTTTACTTAAATAACCAGACAATGACATAGTATATTATTGCAGATAATAGTAGGTTCCACCAAATGTAAACAATAAGATAAATTGTCATTAAGAAAATAAAGGAAGATATTTGGCAGATGATGAGTACTTTGAGCATATAGCCATATCTTTATTTTTGTGTCACACGTAAACTCCAACAATGCTTAGCATAGACCATCATTAATTATTTCTTGAATGAATGAATGGTTAAAACACACGGACAGATTTCAGAGAGAGGAAACAAAGTTTAACTGAGGTTTCAACTCTCACACGCAGGCCCCTAAGGAAAAGCTTTAAAGCAAAAGTAATAAGTCATGTTCAAACCCACAGTAACGTGGATGCATCCGTGGATGGTGAAGAGTAACTGGGAATGGAGAATGTTGTGCATTATTGGGAATATAAATGTGCACCAGAACTCTGAGCACCAGAACTTCGTGAACATTGCAGTCTCACCAGACGATGTTATTGAATGTAATTTAGAGAGGAAGCCTCTTTTACGTGAGAATTTTTATTATTGCATGGTCCTTTTGAGCACCACACATATGCTTAAACTTACTAAGTAGAAGACAGTCATTGATATGCAGGGCAGGGAGACAGACAGACCAGGAGACACACACACAAAGAGGGGGTGGGAGAGCAATCGTTTGGAATGAAATCCATTTACTCTTTTTTGGTATTCATCTTCTTCCTTCACTCCAACATTAGGGTAACACGAGACCCATTTTGCCAGGAACCGTTCCTAATTTACTCTACTGCCCTGAGGAAATCAGGGCTACTGATTTGGACCCCTTCCATGTTCAACAGTGTCCTTTGGGGGGCAATAAATCCATGGGACAGTAACCCAATCCTAATCCTCCAGAGCAATTTGTAGGCCAGCAAAGCACGCTGGTCCCAGAAGGACTCCAGCTCTGGCTGTTAAGGAAGCCAAGGAGGTCTCCTCCTGACATTTCCTCAGGCTTCTCTCTGTCCCAGCAGACTTCCAAAAATAGAGCCTGGTTTTATTTAAAGTTTCCATTTCACTAAATCTCCATTCTGACACTCTGTTCCCAACTATGAAATCCTTAGGGTATCAAACATCAGGAGTCTTCCTAGATACCTGAGACCGTTGCTTTTTATAGAAGCATCATCTGGCCCCAGAACCAACTAGAGATCTAAATAGCATTCCAGAAAGCAGGTTGATCGGTCTCCAGGCTTATGGTCAGACCCTAGGAACTGCTTCAAACATTAAACCCAAGCTACCAGTCCTGGAGATGGCAGATACCCAGGTTAAATGTTACAATATTTATATGAATCATCAGAGTTTGTACAATGTTGAATTTCTATTCTTCTAATCTCTTAAAATAGAAAAGAAAAAGTATCCAGAAATTTTTAAATCTTACTAATACCTCAATAAAATATTCAACTGAGATTGGGAAAAAAATGGAGTCATTATCTAATGTTAATTTTTACATTCCATTCCTTCTTTCCAATGAGGTACTCATTAATTTTAATCTGTGTTTTTAACCTGGAATATAAAAAAATGTATGTGTTGACTATCTTAATCAAAAAAGAGAACACAAAGTGACTGGTCCTGATTAATCAGTGAGCCCCCAGTCATTTATATTTGGCTTTGGCATGCTTTCTTTTGTTTATGAGTTTTATCACAGTAGGCTCTCCTTTCAATTATCTTTGAGTTGACTGAAAATGTGATATTGATATCTTGTGAAGACTTGTGGATTTAGTCATGATTATTTATTACATACGCACATGATAAATTCTCTATACATATTTATTCATTAGTTTTTACCACCACCTAGCAAGGTGAACACCAATATTGCCCTGTTTCCTAGATAAGGAAACTAAAGCACGGAGAAGGAGCACAACTTGTTCAAGATCCAAACTAGTAAATGAAAGAGGAATGTTGGAATCTGGGACGACAGGAGCTTGTAGGGCACTTTATTGAACTTGATTCTCTTAGGCAGTGGAAAGTCATGGAAGTACTTTAAGCAAGAAGGGGCGTGGATGGTCAAATTTTTAGTTCAAAGAAGTGTTCCAGTGGCGGATGTGCAAAATACAGACAGCAGGTAGGGGTGTGGGGTGGGAGCTGGAAGGAAGGAAATGAGGGGGAGAAGGAGGAAGGGTAAAAGGCCAAAGATTTAAATGATAAAATGTCTCAAAGGATAAAATAGACTCAAGGTTTTCAGGGTGACTCTAGCCCTCTTACTGTTCCAGGTGAGCAAAAATGCAGCAAGGACACATATGGACATTGTTGCTAATTAAAAAAGAAAAGCTGGGAGAGTGGAGAGAGAGAATGAATGCTGGTCTCTGATGAATGCAGTGCTGTTGTAATGCACAAGGACTGCAGATGTCAAGAGGAAAGAATACTAAAACAGGGTGGTCTGAAAGTCCTGCCAGTCAGAATGGGAACGAGGAAACAAATATTAAAAACAGTTTCTCCATAGGCGAATGGTTTTCTATACAGAAAGTAGGGAATTCTGAAGGACAGAGTGTCATCCCAGCCAGTTTCTTTCATGCTAAATGTTCTGGAAAACAAATTACTATTTTGCCTCCAAAAAAAAAAACCTGGTAAGTTACTACTTTTCTAATCAGAGCATTATGCAACACAGGAAGGTGAACGACAGGGAAAGCTTGAGTGAAATGAGATGAAATATACTCTCATCCCGGATGGAGAGTCCAGTCCTAGATATTGTATAATCTGTTTCATTAGATCTTTGCTTGATCACCGCTGCTAAATAATCAACAAGGAGCATTTCAATAAAACGTCCAGTTGATTTTTATCACACTCTTGATCCTAGCTGTCACTAAACTAACATAAGACCTACTAAGTGTTTGTACCAGTGTGGGGGCTTTCTCAGAAATGCACTGCTTCTCCAGAGCCATGTAATCTCCTCCAACAAAGAGATAAAATACCCTCACACAAATAGGGAAATCAAAACTTAGCAATTAGGAAAAAAGGAAATATGCAAAATGTGGTTAAATAGTTAACTAGACCTTTAAATTATCTGGGCAATGGAATTCAAAGCTCTAGCTTGTGGGAAACAGCTCTCTGTTCTTGAGTGAAGAGAAAGCAGGCTTTCTTAACTGCCAGAAATTATGAAACTTAAGAAGTGTTGCAGAAAGTTTTAATATTTTAAAGTGAAAGAGCCATCATATTCTGTCCAGAATTTATTTCTTTGGGATTTTGCTTAATCATATTCTCTTGCAGATTCTTCAGGAATCTGTTCCTTCTACTTCTGTCTCTCCACTGAGATTTATGAACTACTCAAGTTAGAATGCAACCTTCTTAAGTTGCAAATTACTGTCTGTTTCATAAGGATAGTATATGTTATATTATTATTATATTGATATTATAATATATTATATATTATTATATATACTGTCCTTACGAAAATAGATGCCATTGGTGGTTAAGGAGTATGTGTTATTCATCTTCAGACACAAGGTCCACCCAGCTCAGAGTAGACACTAAATGAATACTGAATGAATAAACTAATGAAAGGAAGGATGAGTGAAATGGTTAGAGAAACAAAAGAGAGATTTTTGACTTGAAAAATTAAAGAATTCTGAATTAGTCAAGAATTAGGACATATTTAATGCATTCCTCATGGTATCCTCATTGTGAGACGACTTTGCAAACTGGAAATCCTTCAAGTAGAACTGTCACACAAGCGAGCTTGGTTTGATCCTTATAATTCTTTTGCCTTAAAAATAATTAAATTAAGTTATCAATGTTTAAGTCCACAGATTCTACCTGCAGGCTTGTACTTCTGGTTTCCCTTGAACTATTCAAAGATCTTGCAACACTAACATTCCAATTATCTGGATTGGAATTATCAGACCAGCTGCCCCTTTTCCAAGAGGCTAAGGCATGACCATGTCAGCACAGTCCCCAGCAAGCCTACTGGCCTCCTTGGGCCAGTAACCCGAGGTCACCTATTAATCACGATCACACATGTGCTATATATCTGCCTTGCTTCATTGATTCTGCAGAGCTGCCTGGCCAAACAAGGAATTTGAGTTTTTAATTCCAGAGTTCCAGCATACCACAGTGCACGGGGGGTACCCAAGAAATCTTGCCAGCTTTAGATTCTGGTGCAGTAGGTGTAGAGAGGGATCTGAGAGTTTATATTTTTAGTGATTTCTCAGTTCATGCTTACAAATGCACTACCACAGGTTGCATAGTGAAACCACAGCTAATGTCTTTGCTTGAAGACATTGATAGAAGAATCAATGGAATAGATTTGTTTCAGATATTTATCTGTTTACAACTGAAACTAACTATGCTCAAAATGTTCTGATCAATTACATTGTACTGCAGTTCTATAATTATATAATAGACCATAGATCTGTCCATTAAGTACCTTCTAATGGGCCAGGCACTTTGCCAGATATTAGGACTATGACAGAGAACAAACATTGTCCCCATTCATAATACTATACTATATGATCTAGTGGAGAGACAAATAATAATTATATAATCAGGAGTAAATAGATGCAAACACAAAATAGTGTATTAGAAGTAAAAGTCCTGAGTACTGTAAGGATTTAGAATGGATAAATCTGATCTAGTTAAGAAAGATGGAGGAATTAATTTTGCCAAATTTATTTGTTCAAATTAATCAACATGAAAAAAGCCAACAATCCTTTATATCAATGGGCAAGAGAGAGGAATAGAACTTTCTCTCTAGAAGACAGATGGATGGCTAACAAATATATGAAAAAATGCTCATCATTCCTAATCATTAGAGAAATGCAAATCAAAACCACTCTGAGACACCATCTAAGCCCAGTGAGAATGGCCCACACAACAAAATCTCCAAACTGCAGGTGCTAGCATGGATGTGGAAGGAAAGGAACACTTTTACACTGCTGGTGGGACTGCAAACTAAGACAACCTTTTGGAAGGAAGTATGGAGAA